ACAGACCATGCTGCGTTATGCTGGTTAAGATCATTAAAGAACCCAGAGGAAAAATAGACCAATATAATTATAATATTGAATACAGAGAAGGAAAATCCTATGGTAATGCTGATGGACTGAGTCAAAGACCCTGCAAAAATGACTGCAGACATTGCTGCAAAAGAGGGGTTGAACTAACCAGGTGCCATCAAGCTGAAGTTAAGCCGACTGAAAGAGTTGATGATGGTGAAGTGGAACCAAATATAGATATTAAAGCAGAACAGGAGAAAGACCAAGATTTGAAGCCAATAATTGATTTTCTAAAAGCAAGTGTTTTGCGCCCTGCTTGGGAGAAGGTGTCTAGCTTAAACTCTGTGACAAAGAACTATTGGGTACAATGGAACCAGTTGAAGCTTGAAGATGGTGTTCTTCTCCGGAGATGGGAAACTATAGATGGGAAAGTGACGACCTGGCAAACAGTTATACCAAGAAAGTTACGGGAAGTACTGCGTCAATCCCATGATAGTTTAACAGGAGGACATCTCGGAATTAAGATAACATTGAGTCATCTACGACAGAGATTTTACTGGATAGGTATGAGGCAAGATGTGGAAGAATGGTGCAGGACCTGCAGTACATGTTGTGCTAAAAGGGGACCCAAGCATAAGGGACGTGCTCCAATGAAATTATACCAAGTTGGTGCACAATGGAAAGAGTAGCCGTTGACAATGCTGGTCCTTTGCCCCAATCTCGTGCTGGAAACATGTACATTTGTGTGGTGATGGATTATTTCACCACGTGGCCTGAGGCATATGCAATACCAAATCAGGAAGCTACAACCATAACTTTGAATCAGCTGTGTTCCATGAATGCTGCAAGTTGTTTGGCATCCGAAAGACCAGGACAACGCCACTTCACCCACAGTCAGATGGGATGGTAGAAAAGTACAATTGGTCACTGGGACAGGAATTGGCAAAGTTTTGTAATAGCCGCCAAGATGACTGGGATGAATTTCTCCCTCCACTGTTGATGGCTTGTAGAACATCAGAGCATGAAGCCAATGGTTACACTCCAGCAAAGCTGATGTTTGGTCGGGAACTTTGGTTGCCAGTGGATCTGATAACAGGACGCCCACCTGTTGAAAGTGTTATCGGAAAGGATGGATGATATTCACCATCAAGTGCGTTCAACCTTGAAAACGTCTGCTGATTCCATGAAGTTATCTTATGATAAGAGATCTACTGAAGTCAGCTTTGTACCAGGAGACAAAGTGTGGTTGTATAATCCCAGGAAGACCAAAGGGAAGTCTCTTGAGTTGTCTTCTCCATGGGAAGGACCATATGACATAGTGGATCGTCTCTCAGACATGACTTTCCGAATAAAATGTGGTCGGCGAGGTAAGCCAAAGGTGGTGCATGTCATCAGGCTTTGGCATTATCATGGTCCA